TGCGCTTGCCAGGGAAGTGCTTATTCTACTGCGCCTTCTCCCTGGCCCCATAAATAACTACTTTGAATTTGTGTACTTCACTGCAGGCCGTTCGGATTTGTGTGGGCCAGGACGGGTACAGGATGGCGTCACAGGTGGCATGGAGGAGCTGGCTCTGCTTTGCTTTTGCTGTTTTACGTTTTCAGCGTGTACAGAAGTGGGGAGAATAATATAAACCCCCCATGCCTGCCAAGCAGCTTCAGCAGGGACACCGGCTCAGTCTCCTGTAACTTCATGCCCCTTTTGTCTCTTGCCAAGCTATTAGTATGTTGAGGCAAATCCCATACTTTATTTTACTTATTAATTTTTTTACATCTTATTGTGCATCTCAAAATGATAGTGACCCTAAAAACATCAGGAATGTCACATCTGAAAATGAGTAGTTTGTTACTGTCATCAGGTGTGCTGCCCACTTTGTTCGTATGTGGCATTTTAGGTTGATGTTCTGAGGTAGGAACAGCTCCTCCTTGAACTGACTTGATTTCTTCGTTGTCTGGTGTTGGGGAGCGGCGAGGCCCCTCGGCTCACCCCGGGCCATGAGCCTGGTGTGCCTTGGCCCTAGAGCGCTGCATTCCCGGGCTGCCTCGGTCTTGGTCTCACTAGGTCGTGGCGTATAATTCCTTTAATATCTTATTGGATTCAGTTTGTTTTGTTTTGTTAAAGGATAATCTCAGGCTAGGCAGAGAGCTCGGCGGTCTAAGCGCCTGCCTGGCAAGCACCACATGCTGTACTGACCCTGGGACCCCAGGCCTAGCTTGTTGGCCACTGAAACCAGGCTTGGTGTCACACACCTGTAATCCCAGTGCTGGGGAGGCTGAAACGGGAGTATCACTCCTTAGCGAGACCCTGTACAAAATAAAGATGAAAATATATATGTGTATATATATATATATATATATATATATATATATTTATTTATTCGGAACTGGGGATTGAACTCAGGTCCCTGTGCTTTCCAGGCAAGCGTTTATTCTACTGACGTATCTCCCCAGCCTCCTATCCTTTTTAAAAAAAATTTTTTTTTTAAGAATACAAAAACTAGTAAAGAAAAAGAAGCATTAGAAATGATACAGAATTTCACTTAACAAAATGAAAGGAATTCAACACTGCTTGTCTTATTGCATATTGTCTTTTTTTTTTTTTAATTTTATTTTGTGTGTGTGTGTGTGTGTGTGTGTGGCCAGCTCAGCCCACCAGGGGGCGGGGCTGGCTGGCATGTGGTGCTGGGGCATTGAATCATGGTCCCTGTGCTTTGCTGAGCTTGTTTTAAGTAGGTGCTTTAGACCACTGAGCCGACTCACCAGCCCTGCATATTGTCTTTAAATTAGTTGTTCAGATTACCAGATATAATCCTGTAACTTCTGTCAAAAAGTTATCTTATTATTATTTCTTCATTTGTGTATTTGGTACAGGGTCTCATTACCCATATAGGACTCGCGGTGATCCTCCTGTTTCAGCCTTCCCAGTGCTGGGATTACAGGCGTGCACCTCCACAACCAGATTTAGTCCTCAGCTCAGCTTGCCCTGGGGGTGGGGCTGGCGGGGCATGCTGGAGCAAGGATCGAACTCTGGTCCCTGCGCTTTGCCAAAAGAGGCGCTTAGTCCACTGAGCTATCGCGACGGCCCTGGTCAAAAAAACTAGGCAGGGAAGATAGCTCAGTTGAATAAGTGCTTGCCTGGCAAGTGCAAGGCCTTGAGTTCAATCCCCTGTTCCGACAAAAAAAAAAAAAAAAAAAAAGAAAAAGAAAAAAACTAAAAAATTTAAAAGGAGAAAAACATCTAAGCATTAAGTGTTCCTTTCAGTAGGCCAGGAAAGCTGGATGTGGTGGCACACCTGTAATCCCAGCACTTGGAGGCTGAGGCAAGAGGATCTCTGTGAGTTCAAGGTCAACCTGGGCTACAAAGTAGGCTCAAGGGCTGAAGTGCAGAGCGAGGCCCTGTCCCAGAAGCACCGGTGGGAATCGGGTGCAGTTATCCTTGCCGTGTCTTCTCTGTGCCTTTCCACTTGTAGTATTTGTGCCGCCGGAGCAAGCCTGTGCAGCTTGCTTTACAGGGATCCTGGTCTGGAGTCGCCCTGTGTTTCCTTTTTTTTTTTTTTTTTTT